TGCTGACATCCCCCCCCAAGACTCATCGGACCCTCTACTCCCATCCCAGGGCTCCCACCTCGCAATGCCCCAGCAGAGCTGCAGCCCCACTGCCCGGGGCTCCCTAACCCATCCCGTGTGCCACCAGTGCATCCATCTTGTGCCATGAGCGGGGCCGTGCGGTTCCCCTGCATCAGGGCGCATAGCTGAGGGATGGCCTCGCTGGACCTGCCCTACCGGTGTCCACGGTGTGGGGAACACAAGCGCTTCCGCAGCCTCTCCTCACTGCGGGCGCACCTGGAATACAACCACACCTATGAGACCCTCTATGTCCTCTCCAAGACCAACAGCATCTGTGATGCTGCCGTGTTCCCCCTGGCCGCCGATGGGGCCCTGCTGACACCGGCTGCCCGGCGGGACTACTTTGAAAGCACCTCCTTCCAAGGCAAGGACCAGCGCTTCTCCTGTGACCTTGTCCCTGCTGAGGAGCTGGAGCCGGCCCCATCCTCCTCCCCCTCGCCCCGCTATGTCCATGAGATTGAGATCCCTCTAACAGAGCTCTTCACCCGGGGCAAAGCCGTGGCACCAGCCCCCACGCCGCCAGCCACTATGGATGCTGCCTATGAGGAAGGCTTGGCCCGCCTGAAGATCCGCGCCTTTGAGAAGCTAGAGGTGGACAAGCGTCTGGAGAAGCTGACAGAGGAGGTGGAGCAGAAAATTGCCTCGCAGGTGGGCCGGCTCCAGGTGGAGCTGGACCGCAAGAGCTCGGAGCTGGAGAAGGCCAAGCAGGAGAGCCTGCGGCTCAGCCGGGAGAAGCAGGAGCTGGAGGACCGCGCATCTGAACTGTCTCGCCAAGTGGACGTCAGCGTGGAGATGCTGGCCTCCCTCAAGCAGGACCTGGTGCAGAAGGAGCAGGAGCTCACCCGCAAGCAACAGTGAGTCCTTCGTCCCCTCTCCTGCTGCAGGGTGGGGGGAAACGGGTCCCCGATGGCAAGTCCCAGGAGCCCCACACTGTCACCAAACCCTCAGACCAAGTGCTAGGGCACAATCCCCTTGGCAATGTCCATTTGTATCATCACTCATCACGCATCTTCTCCCATGCAGGCAGTGTCCACGTAGACCTGAGCTTCTCCATGTCGATGACCAAGCTGGGTCACGTCATGTCAGACCTTGTCCCAGAGCCACTGGTGCTCCCAGGACACAGCCAAGCTGGGGATGCACATGGCCATCCTGCTGTCCTGCCAAGGAACATGGTGGTGGCCGTGTTCCTGCAGCCCACTTCCAGTCCCAAAGGGTGTCCCCCAAAATCAGGGCTGGATCATCCCCTCTGGCTTCACAGCTAAATCATCCAGCCCCGCACAACCTGAGCAATCCCATCGGCATGTCCCATGGTCATAAACATGAGAGGAGTTAGCTTGGCCATGTATAATTCACAGATATAGCCCGAGAAGTATGAAGAAGCATCTGCTGTTAGGACTGTGGCGCTGTCATCGTCATTTTCATCCCATGTTCTCTATTCAACACCCCCTTCCCAGCCCAGCACTGCTCCTGAGTTTCCCTCCAGTCAAGCACTGGGTCATTTTGCCAATCGATGTCACTGAAGCAAAGTAGACTCTGCTCCTCGGGAGTTTCTTAGCAAAGCTGGAGGCCACCATGGGGTCCAGAAATCAGTGAGTGGCAGGATAATGGGGAATAGTGATGGTTGCGCTGGGCTGGGAGCACTGGTAGGATTCCTCAAGGACCTGTCTTGATTCCCACCATCCCGAGCACATTCGTTAATGACTTTGACTCCAAAATAATGACTGCGCTTAGAAACAAAGTTCACAGAATTTGCTGGTGGTGGAGGTGGTTCTGGGGTGAGGAGCAGGATGACGCTGGGGCTGTATAAGGGCAACAGCTCTTGGTTTGGATGCAGGTGTATGGGACAGGCATTGGGGAGGTTTGGGGGCTGCCATCAGCTGCCTTGTGGGTGTTGTCCAGGGGCATCTTGGGGGTGCATGGTGGCAGGATGAGGGCCAACGGGGTGGACAAGTCTGGAGCATGGCCTGGAGAGATGTGAGAGAGGGCAGACGGAGGGTGACGAATGGATCAAATGCATCTTGTTTGGTCCGTGTTGGAGTCTGGACACTGTTGCCACCTAAGAACCTGGTTTCATACCCCAAAACTGCCTTCTGGACCTCCCTTTCCTTAGAGAAACCCCCCTGCCCCTTAACTGTCCTAATCGGTCCACAAACTCCTCCAGCCAGAGTGACAAAATCACTTGCCAGGTTGCAGAGGGACCATGTGAAGAGCTGATGAAAAGAGATATTTTTTTCCTAGATGTGGGGAAATCATTTTCATCAGCAAAGCTTGTTTCACCCTTCCCCAAGAACAAAACATTGCCTGGGACATTTCCCAGCCCTGCCAGGTCCGAGACACCACGAAGCTGTTGTCCCCATGGGAGGTCTTTTGCTCCTGGGCTCCGTTTGCTTTGCCGGCTGTGTTTTTCCACCCGGTCTGGTCCGTGGGAATGAGAGAGGTGCTGGTGATAACCATCAGCATCACCTTACACCCGCCACACCAGTGCCCCATTTGCCTTCCAAATCTCCTGGGTCCGCTCACCAGGAGCCTTCCCAAATCATTACCAGGCAGCTCCCAGGCTCACCCTGCAAATGGCAGGTTGGGGGGCAGTTAATTGGTAATTATATGGCAATTAATAGCCAGCAACAGGAATTATATCACGATAATATATCCCCCTGCCCCTTTCTTTTCCTTTGCACTCCTGTGCAAATCGGTGGGGCTGGGTGCGCACGGTCGGATGCGCACGGTCGGGTGTGCACGGTTGGATGTGCGTGGTCAGGTGTAGAGTTGGGTGTGCGCAGTCTGGTGTGCACACGACAGGCGTGCGGAGCTGTGTTTGAGCACCTGCAGGGGTTCGTGGTGCTGAGCAAAGGTGTGAGAGCCGTTGTGCATGTGTGTGTGCGCGCGCCATCGACCACACGGGTGTGATCAGTGCTGGGCGTGTGTGCCACCGACTGTATGTGTACCTGGGGGGGGTGCGTGCATGTGCCTGTTCGCGATGCTGCCTGCGTGTGTGTCGGGGTGTACATCCGTATTTGTGTTGTCGTGGTGCTCCTGCGTGTAAGGGTGTCTCTGCATGTGCGTAGGATGCACTTGGGGGTGTGCACGATGGCCATGCGTGTGTGCAGGCCTGGGTGTGCACGTGTGTGTTCACGGGGCGCCTGCATTTGCGGGGGTCCGACGGTCAGGTGGGTCTGGTTGTATGGGGTTTTGGGACATGTGTGCTCGCGGGGGGGGTGATGGCTGCATGCACCTCTGTGTACATGTCCAAGTTTTTGGGAAGTGGACGAGGTCGGTGGGGGTGTGTGTGCCTGGGCACACATGTGTGCAGGATGGGACAGGGCCACCTTGGGTCATTGAGCTGCCAGCACGCTCCACCACAAAGCTGGCCACATTTTGGGAACGACATCTCAGTGCCTCAGCAGGGTGAACACTGTCCATCCACAGGCTTAAAGCTCCCAAGCGCCTGCTAATTAATTTGTTAACAAGGGAGCCGGAGCCCTGCAACCACTGGGTTTAACTGGGTATAGGGCTGAGTGGGGTTGAAGGACTTCAGACTGTCCTTAAGTTCGTTCCTTTAAGTCTACCCCAAACGAGGCAGGGTACCACTGCCATTCTCCTCCATCATCCTGCCAAACCATCATCATCCTCCTCCCTCCACTCCATCGCCCTGGGGCCTGACCCCAGTCCTGGCAGCAAAGGCTCGGGCTGGGTTCTATATCTAAGTGAAGGTGCTGGGGATGCCATTCCCCGCAAAAAAAAAGGTGGCCGCATCCACCCTGCATGCCAGGAGCATCGCCTGGTCTACACTCTGCCCCAAACCATGCCCAGGAGCTGTCTGGGTTGGCACAGACCCAAATCAGGCTGATGGTGGAATGGTCCGGATGTGAGTGAGCATCCTTTGAACCCCCATCCCAGCTGGAGGACAGGGATGGAGGTGCTTCACGGGGACAGGTGGGGAAGGATTGGGGTGTCACCCACTGGTCTTTGCAAACAGGGAGGTGCTGCAGATTGACCAGTTCCTGAAGGAGACGGCTGCCCGTGAGGCCAATGCCAAGGTCCGCCTCCAGCACTTCATCGAGGAGCTGCTGGACCGGGCGGACCGAGCTGAGAAGCAGCTCCAGATCATCAGCAGCAGCTGCGGCACTACCCCAAACGGCAGCCTGGGACGCTGCGGCACGCCGGGGGCCAAGGCTGCCAGCCGACTGGTACCACTGCGGGCACAGGCACGGGCACCCCAGCGACTTCGGGCATGCACCTATGTGGCTTCTCTGATGGCTGCAAAGGGTTGAGCAGGAAGGCGTAGGGACCCCCATCTCATTCCCATGGGGAAATGGATAATCCCGGGGCGGGGGAGGATCCCCAAGGGAAGTTGCTTCTCGGTGGGTTTGTATTTCCACGGCAAGCATGAGCAAGGTGCTGGGGTGATGCTGGCAATGCTCTTCTGTATCTCATTTGGGGATGGCCTCACCCAAAAACGCAGCTGGCACTATATGGGTTATCAGGGTTGTCTTCATTGGCTCTACCACCAACATTTTGGGTTTTGCTACATTGGCTCCTCTCCCCACAGAGAGACCGGCACTCAGGGCCAGGGACAGCCGTGCACGGTCCCTATGGCGTGTCCAACCAGCGCTCCTCCTCCAGCACCGGGTGAGTCCCCTATGTGCACTGCCGGTTTGTGATTTTAATAGCCTGCTTGGTTTTGGGGGGGGGCAAGGAGCTGATGGGAAGGGGATGCACACCCCAGTAAGTGCTGAGGCTGGGCATCCCCATCCCCCAGTGCCTCGAGCCGGGCGAAAGCCGTGTCACAGAGCTCGGGCTGCTACGACAGTGACAGTGCGGAGCCGTGCCCCACCGACGACACCGCTGATGGACATCCTTACCCAGCGCGGGATGGCGCCCGGGGCTCGGGGCTGCGCCGGCAAGCCATCCAAAACTG